CCCCAAAACCCCAAAACCCCAAAACCCCAAAACCCCAAAACCCCTTAGTTATTTTATAAATTGAAATAAAGTAATGGATGAGCTGAAAATAAGGTAAGAAACCTTCAGATTTCTTATGGGATAAACAGAATTTAGGCTAGAAATTATGAGAGTTTATAAAAATTTAATGCTTTGATTACCTTAAACTAAGTTTTATTGATATTTGATTTTTGCACGTTTTTATAATTGTTGGTATAGCTTCGAAAGCTGATCAGGTAAGATTATGTCTATGGTCTCATTAAGCCTCTTATAATGACCCTCTTCGAGTCCTTATCTAACCCTTGATGCATGTATACACAATGTTGAATGATCAATGTGTCTTTAAATCCACGTATTTTCTGCAAGAATTATAATTTGTATCGATTTTTTATGAGCTAATAAAGTTTATTTCTACGAAGGTTTGTATTCTCATAGATTTGTCAAGTAAATTTTTTTTAAATTCTTCCAAATTTAGTCAGTTTTGGCCTAATATGGTGAAACAACTGCTATTGTGAGATACAACCAAAACTATTTTCAACTAAACTTATTATTAATCCAAACTTGTAGGAATCTTCAAAGTTTATTCCTTATCTCTCTGGCTTGTTCATCCTTTCAGAAGGTAAGAGCCTCATTCTTGCAAGTAATCAAAATGAGAATTAATAAAGCACGCATTAATTTCGAATACTGCTCAATTTCCTTTAATAACATTTTAGGCAGGCTTGTATTATTCGATCGTAAAAACTTGGAAATCAAGTAGATTTTATGAAATAAGCCTAAATAGATTTTTAAATTAGAGGAGTAATATGAAAATTCTCTTCCTGAACATATTCATTTATAGGCTTGATACTGCAGGAATATATGAAAGAGCGTACAGAGAATATGTAAGACTAATTCTAGTTGTTTACAGTTTTTGAAAAATTAGATTTTGATAAGTCTGAAGTGAATTGTAATGATTTTTATAGGGGGAATATGAGCAATAATGAGAAGGAAGAAAGTTTAGATATTGATAAATAATTCAGATAAAATTTCTTCAAAAGAAAATCTCCAAAAGCAGAATTTGTCATCTTGTAAAGTGATGGAACAATCAAAAGAGTCAAGTCACAAAAACATTGCCCCAATGCAAACCCCAGCATCTTCTTCAGAAAATTCAATTTCTATACCCTCCAAATTTCCTGCTCAATTCCAATCAAACGCTTTCATTAACTTTGATGATTCCTCTGAGACCACTTCAGAGAATGACCCTGTCGGGAATCTTCCATCTAAGCCTGGCTTGACTGCGTTCATAAAGGCAAAGGTAAGTTATTCCTCATGAATTATATAAGAGCGTTGAACCAAAATCCTCTAAAAACACATTATCTCTTTGAGAGGAAGGGGCTGATAAAGTAAACAGTAAGTGAAAGTTTAACAACATTCAGTACTGATCGACAAGAAAATATCCAATGAGATTAGGCTGGTGACAGGAGAACCACCAAACCAAGGGCCTGAGAAATCTAATATGAAGCCAATGGTGATTAACTCTAAAAGGAAGATGTACCATACCTCAAAATCTAATGTCTTTTCAATGGTCAACAAAGAGATTAACGAGAAGGATCTTAGGGACTACAAGCAAATAATCCCTCAGCCTAGTACAACTATTAAGATCAACAAGAAGCAGGGTAAGAAGCCTGTCAAGATCCAGTTGCGGAAGAACTCCTTGAGTATTCCTAAATTTGAACCTGGTGATATCTCCTCTGGCCTTAGTGACATAAAGAAGTCTTATATCCCAGACTTCGGTTACAAGAATCAACTTGAATTCACCAGGCAGCAAGGATGGGAGATCGTCTTAGATTTCATCTCGAAGTATCCTCGAAGAGAGAAGACAGCTAACACGATAAGTGATTTATTACAGCAGAAAGAGATGATGGTAGGTATTCTTTGGTGAACTTTTAGAAAGAGCGCAGGAAAGAAGTCGTCAAAAATAAAAGTTTCATCAGGTAATTCCTCCTGCTAAAATCACAGATTCATCAATCAGCCAGAAGACAGGAAGTCAAACTATCCGATAATAGAAAGAATGATCGATATCAGAGAGGATTTTGAGAACTTTTATAGTGAATTTGTTGAATTTTCTCGAGAATTTTTCATACTAAAAGGAAGAATCAAAGCCCATCATCAACAGAAAGTCAAAAGAAGAGTCAAGAAATTGCTAGAATGGAATGATATGCACGCTTCAAAGGTAAAACCTGCCCCTCATTGTTTAGAAAAATTAACATAGGAGACTCCACACATATTCTGAGTATAATTTCTGCAAATGCACCTCCAAGGTACACACTTTCTGACTAATCCCACTAGAGACAGCTCAAGTGAGTCAAGTGTCAATACCAAACGAAAGTGAGGAATGTTCTTAATCTGATAGGAAAATCATGCAGATCGAGCACCAGATGTCCAGGTATTCTTCTTAATAACCTCTAAAATCTAGAAAATTTGATGAATATTACTTCAAACATAAGAAGGTTCCTATTAAGTTTCCTACAAAGAGAAATCTAACAAACCAAGCATTAAGTAGCAATAAGTCAATTCTCAAGATGGAAAGTGAGATGTGGGATGATGAAAACTCTAATAAGGAATCAGAATTTGGTTCTTCAAGTGGCCAAGGTAAATTTATGCTATAATTTTAGATAATCCCAGAAATTCTCCTGTTAAAAAGATGAAAGAGACTATAAAAAGTCCTCCAAAGAAGAAGATTTTTAGTCAAAAAATTACAATTAATCCTCTGAAGATATACAGAAGAGATTTTAAGCAAGACACACTAGTATGGCCCAGTGTTCTTAATTCACTAGGAACCTTTCTTAGCAGCCCAAAGCGCTTATATGAAAAACTTGGTCCAGAACTTTCAAAGGATGATTGCATTGCTTAAAACTCAAAATTGTCCCAAGAAATCTACTGAGAACACTCAGAAAGATCAAGATAAAGTTGGCCAACACACTAATGGTAAGTTTTAAACCTTCTAAATCAGCCAAATGCTGCAGTGTATATCTATTCTTCATGAAATATCCGGTTTCTGGGTACCTATTCCTAATATGTCATAGACATCAAAATTTCAGAGTAAGCCTGAACATTACTGTGTAGACTAATCAACTCATTTTCGGTATCAAGACTTGAGGGAAGCATCCAGAGTTTCATGGTAAGTTATTGGGAAATCAACCAAAATAGAACCAAACTGTTCAAAAATTAAACGAGATTTTTGGAGAAAGTAAGTAAAAACCTGAAATTTTAGGACAATCTGAGCTGAAATATTTTAAAGAAAATCTCTCGAGGTTGCTATCTTCTTACAAGACTATCAACTCTCCGAAACAGGTCTTTAGTCAGAGGAGAAAAAGAAGATGACGCAAAGTGGAAATCAGCCGAAATTTTGGAAATCAATATCAGGCAATCAAGATGAAGCCGAGTCTTATGTCTCAACGAATCAGAAACTTTGTTAAACTTAATTTCAGCAAAGAAGAGAATCTGAGAAGAAAAATTAAGAAGGTTAAGAGAATTTATTGAAGTATTTACCCTGTTAACAACCTCTAGATGATTATCTCAGTAAAACCAGCGCTAGGAGGAAGAGAAATATAATGTACAAAAAGGATCTGAGATCAAACTTATTCACACCTCCAAGTACAAGGCATCAGACGATGACTCCCTTCACAGCTATGTCTAAAGAGGAACATGGGTCTAAATAAAATGGTCCATCAAGTATTAATTTCCCCTCACCCTTATAGTATATTTCTGAATACGAAGAAATATCACCTAAAATGTCAACAATCAAGAAATCCTGAGCCAAGGACTTCCGATTCCCAGCTTCAAGGAATATAAAAAATAGGGGATGCCAAAACTACTTCAGTCCTAAAAATGATGGTACCAATCAAGAATCATTTCTGTTCAAGTCTAAATAATCTAGTTGTTCAATAAAATTTCGAATATTTGGGGTTTTGGGGTTTTGGGGTTTTGGGGTTTTGGGG